GAGCCGAGGAAGATAGGTTGTATTTTCGGAAGCCTCACGCGGTGGTGTCGCAAGTTGTCGAGGACCAGAATCAGTGGAAGCTGGTCCTCCCCCAAGAATCTCGTCGCGCTGTGATTCGCGAAAATCATGACCCACCGCATGCGGGTCACTTGGGGGTCGAAAAGACGTATCAGAGAATCGCGGTTAGATATTACTGGCCGCGGATGTTTAAGGATGTCGCCAACTATGTACGCCGGTGTGACACGTGTCAAAGAGCGAAGGTCGAGCAAGATGTCCCGGCCGGATTAATGGGGCAGCGCGTGATAGAGGCCCCGTGGACGGTCGTCGCGGCGGACATGATGGGACCGTTCCCCACGAGTAAAGCGGGACACGCGTACTTGCTTGTAATACAAGATCTCTTCTCGAAGTGGATCGAGTGTCGGCCACTCCGCAAGGCGACGGGTAAAAATATTCGTGAGGCTATCGAGGACCTGATAGTGTTTCGCTGGGGTGCGCCGCGTGTACTACTGACAGACAATGGGACGGAATTCGTGAATCGCGAGCTGCAGGCGTTGGCCGAGCAATACGGAATAAGACATGCTACGGTACCGCCGTATCACTCTCAGGCGAACCCCGTTGAAAGAGTAAATCGCGTACTCAAAACCATGATTACGGCCTTTATCGAACGCGATCACCGCGAATGGGATCGATACATAAGAGATTTTCGCTTTGCTTACAATTCCGCCTACCATACGTCACTGCAGACCACGCCGGCATTTTTGAACTTTGGTAGAGAACCATCAGCTATCAATGCGCGTCACGAACCGGAAGGGGCTGTCGGACTAGACGATCCCGACCCGGGCGCGTGGAAAGAACGCATGGAACAATTGCAAACGTTACAGGGGTGGGTCGCGGAGAATCTGGAGACCGCTCACCAAAAGCAAGCCGAATATTACAATCGACGTCACAAAGAACGACGCTTTGTGGTCGGGGATCAAGTTTTGAGACGACAACACGTGTTGTCGTCCGCCGCTCAGAATTTCGCGGCAAAGTTGGCCACCAAGTATCATGGTCCGTTTGCTGTTGCGAGAGTTTTGTCGCCCTTAGTCTACGAGCTGGCGGACGCCGCCGGTAGACCTCTGGGAAAAGTACACGTGAAGGATCTGAAACCTTATCTCGAACCCGTGGAGTAGTGGGTATAAGTGTTTGTATGTCTGTGTGTCCGTGTGTAGCAAGGATGTCGGTGCCCAATAAGCGCTATGAGCGTCTGCTCCAACTCCTCCGTGAGGGCCAGGCGAGGCTCGAGCGGGAGGCTGCCCTCGGGGAAGGACGACGAGGCGAAGGAGCCGCGGTGCAGGTGGAGGCCGCACAATTGACCCTGCGGGTATCGGCGCGGGACATCGGGTCGGCCGCTGGCCCTTCGGAAGCCCGCTGTGAGGTAGTGGCCACGGCGCCCGCTCCGAGACGTCGGGGGCCGCACCAGTGGGATCCGGATTATGTGCCCCCCTGGCTGTTCTCCATAGAGGCGTGTTGGGCATGCGGTGCCGCGGATCATTTCCAGGACCGGTGCCCGAAGCGACACATCCGTCGCGCCCTGCCCTACTGCTTCCGGTGTGGCCGCGCCTGGTGCACCGTGAAAACCTGCCCCGACTGCGGGGACGCCTGGGGACCCTGGACCCCGGGGCGAGGACATCCGGGACCCGAGCCCCCAAGGAGACCGAGCAAGAAGCCCGGCAGCCGCCTGATCTTGGCGCCCATGGGCGAAGGGTAGCCACCGACATCCCCCTGTCTTTCTGTGCCGGGATACCAGCCCGCGGATGGGGACGAGGACGCTGGAAGAGCGCGACGACCACACCAGACCCCGAACATTTTTTTTTCTTTCCTCGTTTTCCTTGGTGTCTAGGAAACGCCTAAGTTTTTTTGTTTGTTTCTGCTTAACACTATGGCAGCTTGGCCTCTTTTCTTTGTGTATTCTGTTCGACGCTTTTTCGGGGTTTCCCGGGCCAGGGATGTCTTTGTTTTGTTTCGTGGTTGTTGCCCAATCGCGGCACTCGCTGTCGATGCGCGTCACCTTACTCCCCTACGAAACTATGTGCGACTCCGTCGGGGGATCCCGGACCAGGGGAAAATAAAACGTTTGTATTTTTGCTAATCCTGAGTGGTTTTGTCTGCCTACCCTGCTCCCCTCCACCCGCCTCTGCAAAGCCGCGAACCGACGCGCGAAAAGCGAGATGCGAAATCGCTTGCCGGAGTCCGATATCGATAGACGGCGATCTCGGGAAGGCTCGAGCTGGCGGATGCCACGTAAAGTTGGAGCACAGGGAGGATTCTCTTACCTCCCCCGGGATAGAATTTTTTGTTTGTTATCTTTAATTTTTTTTTCATCTCTCTTTTATTTTTTTTGTGTACTGTCTAATCGTCCTGAGAAGGGGCCCTCCCATCGGAGGTTTCGGTCGCTCGCGGCAGCAAGGTCATTCGCTTCCTCGACAGCCCGGGGCTCGAGAGGGATAGCTGAAGTGGCACGGTCTCTCTTGGCATGGGGGAGTTGTGACGCTGCAGTCCGCTGCGGCGAGG